CTGGCGTGTCACATGTGTGACGCTCACTAGTTTTGCGCGTAGAGTGAACATGGAAAAAGGCCTACGGCTATTCAGATTCACACAAGAATTCCTAAAATTTCCGAGTCAAAGTCGAGAACGAACAAAAAGGACACGTCGGGTCCCGCTTATTCTGGAATTCCTAACCGTCGAGCCAAATCCCCAGTGCGTTCGCTAAGGCGCGCATAATTCCCATATATTTCCCGAACCGTGAAAAGATGGAATTCCAAAAAATGATAAAAATAACAAGGGGCATGCCTTTTTGATTACGAGGAATGCGCATCGGTTTGTGAAAACATAAAAAGGGGCCTCTGTGCTCTGGTTGCAAAAAATCACAAAAAAGAAAAAGGGGCCGGGGGGGGGGAGGAGGGTGTTTGGAAGATGGCGCAGATCCGGAAGCTGGCGCGTCACACTCACGCCCCCAAATGATAGGTTACAGAGTGGCACGACCCACCCAGAAGACTCCCACCTGCTTGGCTACAGGGCAAAACGACCCGGCCCGGCTCCGACCAACGTCGACTAAGTACCAACTTACCAAAGGACACAAGAGTACCTTCCACCCTCGACAACTCCCCTGATCTCTCTACCAGGTCTCTTGCCTCCGTACAGCTCGAGTTACAGGGCACCGTGACCAAACCCCAACACGGACCAATGTCGTTCCGGCCTCGTCCATTCGCAAACCCACGGGGACCCATGACTACAACAAATACCAGACAAGCCACCAATCAGCACCATAACTGTAGTTCTGATCATTCAACTTCTTCAGGCACTGGTTGCCCCACATTCAATCCCTCACAACCCTACTCCGACAAGTCTTACTGAAGCCACCATCTTCACCGTTGATGTACCCTATTTCCACCTTGCAGGCTAGCCCCATGGCCTCAGAGCACATTATCCCCCACCATCCCAACCACAACCCCCTACCACCGGCGCCGGCTTATAAATAATTTTTTTATCAGAAAATTCAATCCGATTCAAGAACATATTAAGGAATCAAGAAATCAGAAGATTGAGAAAAACATATACACATTCCAACACCTATTAATCCCACAAGAAGAGGGGAGGGGAGGGAAAAAACCACCCTCTCTCCCCATGGAAACTCCATCGCCTACTCAAATCTCAATGGCATGTACAAAGCTCACAAGAACAAAACAAATTTATGGGGAAAAAACGACCCCTTGTCTGATCACTACCTCCGCGGGGAAGCGCCCCCTCGCCTCCCAGCCCCAGTTCAGAACAGCCCCCTAAATACCACTCTTGCACCCTCAGCTGCATACAGTACCCCCTAAAGTATGCCCCGCAGAGCCGAAGATCCCCCTTCCCTCCTGCCCCGCCCCCTCCAAGTGAAACAACCCTTCAACATCTTACCATGTTGGCATCAACACCCCTTGTCCTCTCTCCCCAACCACCATAGCTGATTCGACCCAGAAATCAGCGTGGCCCAGAAAGGGACAAACCCTCAATACCGCCCGTCCCTCTCAAAGATTACACCACCCACCCTGTGTAACCCTTGCAGCGAGGGGCTCCAACCCTAAAGGAGATAATCTTTGAAACACCCGCGGACGCGTCCTCGGCCGTCCTGGTCCGCGCCGCGGACCCGATTTTACCAGAATTTTCCTGAATTGAATAATAGGTTAAAAAAAAAAAGGGGTTGTAGGGAATTTTAAGCCCTACAACCCCATATTTGTTTTTTTGGAATCCGACTTCGTTTAAGATTTAAAAAAAAAACAAAAACTTAACTGGATTTAAAGAAAATTAAAAACAAAAATATAAAGAAAAGCAGGATTTTTTTTTGGTACCATAAAAAATAGATAACTTTTTAATCGCTTGTAATTTTTGTGAAAATTCACCGGCCTTGTTTGTTTTTTTTCGAGCCTTCGATTTTTTTTTATTTTTTTTTTGAGTAATTTTTTATCATGAGATATATGGTCCCTGAGTTGACCTGTATTTTTTTTAGAAATGAATTTCTGTTTTTTGCAGGGGTATGACGTGTTTTAAAAAAATGCAGATGCAGAATTTTAAACTAAATAAACAAAAAAGGTGTGTGTGTGTGTGTGTGTGTGTGTGTGTGTGTGTGTGTGTGTGTGTGTGTGTGTGTG